GCAAGACTGAAGTAGAGAATGAATTTTTGGCTTCAATTTTTACTCTGAAATTTGTCTTYGGGAATCACAGACTCCTGAAACGAGTAAAATGTCTGATGCACTAAGTCTTACTTTCAGTAAAGGAGGATCAGTTTAGGGAAGCAAACTGGACAAACAACAAGTCCTTGGGATTAGATGGAATGCATCTATGAATGCATCCATGAGCGCTGAGGGAGCTGGACAATGTCATTGCAAACTCTCAATTATCTTTGAAAGGTCACTGCAATCAGGGAAGCTACTGAAGGTTTGAGAGAAGCAATTGTCACTCTTGTTTCCAAGAAGAACAAGACAGAGCTTGATACCCAATTAGCYGTCAGAAAGAAGCCTAGTGGTTCAACACTATGGCCCATATTTTTCAATATTTTCACCAACATTTTGAATTATGACATAGACTGCACCCTTGGTAAATTTGCAGATGACATGAGGAGTCTGACTGACAAAACAAAAGGGTGTTAGTCTTGGGGAATCTTGGAAAACCTAGGTGTTGGGCTTTTAGAAACCATGGAGTTCAATTAGGAGAAGTCTAAGTTCATTACCTTGGGTAAAATAACTCCATAAATGCTGGCTTAGCATCAATCCTCCTGGAAAGAATATAGGCATTGCAGTGGATACTATCTTGAGTAAGCAGTGCACATTTATTGTGATGGAAACTAATCACATACTAGGCTACATAATCAACAGTATAGCCATCAAATTGAAGGAGTTTACTATTTAGTTTTGTTATCTCACTTCAATACTTTCTAGATGGCTAGCTTTGACTTAGATGCTTTACGGATATTTCCTTTATGATACTGTGTTTTATTGCATGTTCTCTATTACATCCTTATGTTGCTGGCTTTGGGAAAAGCATTATTGCAACACCAAGTGTAGAAAGAAGTTTGAACTTGAGAAATTCCCCAAATGGCTTTCAGTAGTTGTGTGTTGCCTTCCATCAGCTGTTTTAGACCAGACTGTGCTGAGTGTGCGGTAATGACCTTGGTTAGGTAATCTGACCTTGGTCTCACTTGCCTAAGGGTCCCCTTAGGAACAGGAAATTCTATGMTGAAGAGCAGAGCAGTATTTCCCAGATGGGGATGAAGCTGTCTCTTGTTACGTTCTTTTTTCCCTTTATTGTGTTCTGGCCAAGTAAACACCCAAGCAGAATTAGTCTTATTCAGCAGATGGAAGAGGACCTTTCAGTCAAATATGAAGGAGAAGCGGTTCATGTATTGCTCTTTCTAAGGCGAGCAATAGGACAGAGGTGAGAGAAATATCTCCTCTCCTAGCACTGCAAAGTGAGGAAAAACCCTTGTGCCTTCAAGACTCCTCTTTCCACTGTGGGGGTTGATAGAAAGACTGCTTGTGGTGTTCCTGTTCTCATTTGTCCAGGTTGGATGGAGAGGCAAGTTGCCCCATGACAGCTCTGAAGCCACATGGCTGCTTACTGGGCCTGGAAGCTGGCAGTGCACTCACTGAGTGGAGAACATGAGCAAGGTGCTATCTTCTGAATCRTGAAGATGAAGGCCACCCATTGCGGAAGATTTTCCCTATTATGAGGTTTCTAGCAAGGGAAGATAAAGACATAGGGAACAAAAAAATGACAAGTCATCTATCTTTCTCTCTTGAATCTGCTGCCTTCCCAAGATTCCCATTAGTCCAAGGAGGTGAAACAAAATACGAGATGCCAAACTGACAGAGAGTATGATATACTGTGAGTATGATCTTTGAACTAATGTCCTGGAATCTGAGACATGCTCCTCAGGTAACACATGCAGAGGGCCCAAGAGGGAAGCTGAAATGTAAAGAATCATTTTCAGCTAATACCAGGTTTATAAACATGGTGATGAATGTATAAAGGAGTATTGCCAGAGTCACAGAAATCCACAGCCATACTTAAAAGGATGATAGGCTTCGTACAGTCATATGAATTTCATCTGCTAAGCTTTTCAATTCCTGCACGGCTTGGGAGCCATTATAAATTGAAAGACAAGTTTATCAAAGAACTACAGATCTCACTTGGAGTTAATGTCATATGCCATATAAAGAATAATCAAGTCCATTTTTGGTTAAACAATTAAAAAATTCACTAGAAGTAAGAAAATTCTAGCCTACCTTTCTCTCTCTTTTTCTCTCTCTTTATCCTGTTTTTCTTTCTTTCTTTTTTTTTTTTTTCTGCAGGACCCAGAAGGTATTCTCAGTAACCTTATGAATTTCAAAATTCCATTATATGGAAGAGCTAGAATGTCCTACTTACATATTTCTCCTCTATCGTGCTGCCAAGTATGATATAAATGTTAGACTGTCTGTTGTATAACATCAGAGGGAATAATGATAACACCTAAGTTCTTCCATAAATTCCTAAAACCAATATAAGTTATATRCAGGTTTCTAATGCAACTATTTCCATGATTACCTGATATTTACTTTCCCTGAGTGCTATCATGCTTAGCTATCCATACAATTAGAAATATTTGCACATACATAAACAAGTTGCTAGTCTTCAGGCACAATGCACTGCCATCAGCGTGTCTGAAAAAGGAAGCAGACAGATTTCTTGGTGTTGTAAATGGCASCTGAATCATCACATCATCTATGAATTTTACTCAAACTAATGATTTTTTTTTTCAGAAATCACAAAGCATTTTACAATTAAGATTTTTTTTCTTGATCTAAATCTGTATGTGTAATGTACTCAGTTTTGTTAATACTTTCTGTTGAATGATGCAATAAACCATCCAGCAGAATCAATCTCCCTAGGCTACATAGGACTGATTTGTTCTTGGAAGAAAAAAGGTCTATATCCATAGGTTATGGATGTCAAGAGCTTGATCCTCCTAAGAGTTTTCTGCATTTCAGTAGAGTTTGTGCTTGTTCTTGGAAAGGCTGGAGGAAATGGAAGTATTTGTGATCTAAGTCCAATATCTCACACTTATTAACTACAGTAAGTGCCCAGAGTCAGTGGTCAGCAGACTCATGCTCTAAAATTGTAGTGTACTTGTGAATTAAAACTGGGAAATAAACCTAAATCATGAGGACAGCAAAATGTCAGTTCATGATCAAAACTTCTACATATATGTSTGAAGAAACCAATTTCTAATTAAAATCCTATTTCTAACTGTTGCCAACCTCCAACAATTCAGAAGCAGGCAAAAAAAAAAATTAAATATCTTCATCAAGGGGGGATCCTCCTGATCCTTCCCATCRAGTGGGTAAAGGAGTCCTTGTCTGGTCTTCTGAAATAAGGCAGCAAAATCTCTGAAGATCAACATGAAAGAATTAGAAATAGGTGCAATAACATAAACACAATATAGTAGTCTAAAATTGCAAAATAAGATTATTCCAGATTATTCCTATTTTTTATTTTCAGAATATTTCAGAATAGGATTACTCAAAAGCTCTTCTTTGTACCATGAATTCTTTTAACTGTTGCTGAGTCCTGAGACACATAGTCTTATATGACTAGGAGCAAATCTGGAGTAGACAAGCCACTATACTGCTCTATTTGCTGGACAGCACTTCCTCCTTTCAGATTCCTTGTCAAAATATTTATAGGAGATTTATTCCATAGCTAGTAAGACATCAAATATTTCTAAATATATCCACGACTAGCACGAATGGGGATCATGCACTCAGGCAAGTTTGCCAAACAATACTTTGCCAAAAATGTTTTGACCTAAGAAAGAGGAGGAGGGAGTTCTATGTGCAGACCAGAACCTATAAAAGCGCTGACTAGGACAAGTCTGCTCTGTCTCCTCAGAAAGCTTCAAGGTAAGAATATGGAGGGCCGGGTACTGGCAGAGTCCCACTGAATTCCTGCTGCCTGTGGAACTACTTTCCTCAAAGGACTGTCTGCATCAATAGTGATATTCTTTCTGCTTTTAAGCTACTTGTATATTTTTGTCCTGTGGTTTATCTCTTAAATTATGTTTAGCAGTAAGTAGGAAGTTGTCATTTATGTTTTACAGTACTGGCCAGCTTCCAGCCTGCAAGCCAGCCATCTGGTATCACAAGAGGTAAGACCTCGATTTACTCCTTCCTCAGGAACAGAACATCCACRTGTATGGCCACTTCCTATATCTATTTACCACCATGCATATTAATGCAGTGCATTCCTACCTGGACTCTGTGGTCCAAAGCAGAAAATTCCTTTTCATAACCAGGCTTTAATCATTTAATACTTTCTGAGAGACCATTAATCACAAGGAACTATGAACAATAAATTCTCTGTAAATAGACATCCAGGAAAGAGCAAATGAATTAACTGCACTTAGAAAGATAAGAGTTTGTTGAATCCCTCTGGATTCTTTTTATTGARAAGTCCTAATTTGCTACAGCTTCATCTTAAGGAATCATTTGAACTGGAGCTGGACCAACTGGAGAAGTGAAAACATTTCTGAATTCACAGCACAGAGCATAAATCATAGAATCATAGAATGCCGAAGGTTGGAAGGGACCTCAGAGGTCATCGAGTCCAACCCCCCTGCTCACGCAGGGTCACCTAAAGCTAAAGCACAGGCAATTGACACTGCTTCTACTTACTCCACATCTCTTGTCTTTTGTTGTTCCATCTCTTTAGTCAATACAAAGTCTAAAGTATTCCAGAAAAACAAATGTAAAAAATCTTAGTAAGGTGACTTCTGTTGGCATCTCTGCTACTTACTTAGTAGTAGGCTTTTAATGAGCCTCTCCAGCCACCTTTCCCTGTAGCCTGCTAAAAGACTACTAGGTCTAAAGAACAATTCATATAAACTGAAATCAAGGGAAAGGAAATTAAAAAAAACCAAAACCCTGTTCTATATTTATGATCTAAATTTATTAAAGGATATCTTTGGGGAAGAGCAGGCCAGATAAAGGAGACCATAAGAATAGACAAAGCTGAACTCTAATGAGTCAGTGACAACAGCATTGCTTCCATCACTCAGTACTCTAGTATTTCTCTCCCATTCAGCCCTCCGCTGTGCTGCACTCAATAAACTGCAGCCATGTCTACGGACGCTGAGATGGCCATCTTTGGGGAGGCAGCTCCTTACCTCCGAAAGTCAGAAAAGGAGAGAATCGAGGCTCAGAACAAGCCTTTCGATGCCAAGACATCAGTCTTCGTGGTACATGCCAAAGAATCCTATGTGAAAAGCACAATCCAGAGCAAAGAAGGAGGAAAGGTCACAGTCAAGACTGAAGGTGGAGAGGTGGGTGGAAAAAAAAAAACTAAGACAGGCATTTGATTGACAGCATTTGATAGATACTCTTAGCCAACACACATCATCTCCCTTTTTTTGGGCAGACTCTGACCGTGAAGGAAGATCAAATCTTCTCCATGAACCCTCCCAAGTATGACAAAATCGAGGAYATGGCCATGATGACCCACCTCCATGAGCCCGCTGTGCTGTATAACCTCAAAGAGCGTTATGCAGCCTGGATGATCTACGTAAGTACAGGCCTCGGTCTCCTCTCAAGCAGCTAGSAAGAAGCGCTGCCCCAAGGCAGGTGGAAGCCAACTTGCTGTGTCCTGTCCTTGCAGACCTACTCGGGTCTCTTCTGTGTCACTGTCAACCCCTACAAGTGGCTGCCGGTGTACAACCCGGAGGTGGTGTTGGCCTACCGAGGCAAAAAGCGCCAGGAGGCCCCTCCGCACATCTTCTCCATCTCTGACAACGCCTATCAGTTCATGTTAACTGGTGAGTGCTTTGGAACCTTCACAGCAATCACAACAAAAAAGTCCCACACTCTTCTGATGGGGGAATGTGGCAAAGGAGCTAAGAACACCACCGAATTGTATGCCACCAAAATGCACCTGCAAGACGCAGCCACCCAACACTGCATGTTCTTTACATTATAACAAAATCTGCACTGCCTCACTCAAGGAACAGTGCTTGAATCATGCAACTAACTACCTTTTTGCACTGCCGGGACAGAGTTATCAGTCCTTCAACCCTGTATTTTGCAGATGAGTAGGCAATTCAGATAGATTTKCTAAAGAGAATCATGTAAAGGGCAAATAGATACTGTACTGCTTTAAGGACCGTGTATGTCCATAGTTCTGTGCATAGCTGACCTTAGGTTTGTTATTGCTGGGAACTTTATGGGTGCAGTTYRAATTGGGCACTTTCTTCTACGAGTCAGTACTAAAACATTATAAATAAGTCACAACTTTATTTTCAGTTTTCTGACAGTAGCTTTTGTTCTGTCTCCATCACAGATCGCGAGAATCAGTCAATCCTGATCACGTACGTACATTCCCTGCTCCAGTTCCCAAAGGGTGGCTCTGAGCCAGGGGACCTGCTGCCTGACCCATACGTTCTCTGCTTCTCTCTCTCTTGCTTCCCAGCGGAGAATCCGGGGCAGGCAAGACTGTGAACACCAAGCGTGTCATCCAGTACTTTGCAACAATTGCAGCCAGCGGRGATAAGAAGAAGGAGGAGCAGCCACAACAGGCAGGCAAAATGCAGGTGAGTTCCTAGGAACAGCACTCTGCATCTGTCAGCTGCATTTATGAGCTATGATGTGATGACAATATGATTGCTGTCTTAGGGGACACTTGAGGATCAAATCATCAGTGCCAACCCCTTGCTGGAGGCTTTTGGAAATGCCAAGACCGTGAGGAATGACAACTCCTCACGCTTTGTAAGTTGTTGCCTAGTTCAAAATAACTTTTTTTTTTTTCTTACAAGGGTAACGGTTGTAATATTTTGCACTTGGAATTCGTAAAACATATCTAGATTGGTTTTCTTTCTTCTTTCAGGGTAAATTCATCCGAATCCATTTTGGAGCCACAGGAAAACTGGCTTCTGCTGATATTGAAACATGTAAGAGACCCTCCAAGCCTGATAAGAATCTTTCATACCTTCCTCAGCTCCTATGCTAACTCTGTTCTACCTTCATTGCTAGACCTGCTGGAGAAGTCCAGAGTCACTTTCCAGCTCAAAGCGGAAAGAAGCTACCACATATTTTACCAGATCATGTCCAACAAGAAGCCAGAGCTAATTGGTAGGAAAAATCACTTACCTGGGGGAAGTTCATTGAGCATTGAACATTTAATTCCATTATATGCCAATTACTTTTGATCTGTATGTGTATGTGATCTGTATGTGTTTTGCACTTCTTTTCAGAGATGCTACTGATCACCACCAATCCATATGATTATCATTATGTGAGTCAAGGTGAAATCACAGTTCCCAGCATAAATGACCAGGAAGAGCTGATGGCCACAGACGTAAGTAACGTATAGCAAATTTATTAGTCAGATTCCAACTTTTAATAGGCATGGTACTTACAGTAGTGACTCTTTTATTAGAGTGCCATTGACATCCTGGGCTTCACTGCTGATGAAAAGACCGCCATCTACAAGCTGACAGGAGCTGTCATGCACTATGGAAACCTAAAGTTTAAGCAGAAGCAGCGTGAGGAGCAGGCAGAACCAGATGGCACAGAAGGTATTAGCAGAATATACACTGGACTGCTCACTCATATAAGCAATAATTCTGAGCCAGATTCATTGATCATTGTAGATTTTTCACAAAATGCTTACATTGCAGAGTATAATCATGTCCTAACTGAAATCTTTTCTGAAAGAAGGTAACACAGCAGAAGTGTAGAGATTTCATAGGAACAGATTCCGTAGCAATTAGAGAAAAAAAATTGCTACTGCATTAAAATTATTCAACTCAGTGAGTTCCTTCACACCAATGTCAATGGACTGGCAAGACAGTATGTAGGAATCAGAAAGGTTCTTTCTCAGTGAGAGAGGCTGACAGCCACACTGTGTATGTGGCCTGGTTTTAATGCTTGTGCAGAGTTGTACATTTCTGTCTTAATGATAAAGACAGATGAAGGAAAGCATAAAGCAGTAGAGAATAAGGGCTGGTGGACATTAAACCAAATTTCTATCGGCTGACAGTAGAAATAGCCAGTAGAAGAAATGCAGTCCTTCTCAGTATACAGTGTAACAGCTTCTCAGCTTTGGAAGATATCTCAGAGCTGCTCTACTCCATAAATGATTTTATGGTTATATGCCCTGCTGCTATCATTTATACTACTGCTATCATTTAGACTGCTGTGATCATTTATAATCAGTGGTCATTGCTTCCTAAGGGAATTACTTTCAGATGGATAAAGCTAGCTTCTTGGAACTGCTTTCCCATAAAGCCTTTGGAGGCCTTGGTGGAGGCAACTCTTGCTGCCCAAACTGTGCTATTTTATTTCACATGGGAGCTTAAAAAGAAAGATCAGTTAACGCTACAGTTGTGTTCCTTATATTCTCTATTTTCTGTAGAGATTTCTCATCTTTCCAGGAATTAGAAAAAATATAGTATCTATCAAGTTTGCTTTGCCTGCAATTTTTAAAGGTATATGCYTTTAAAAGTTCTGTACAACCCATCTGTTTCTTTACCTGTTTTTGAAGACACTAAGTAACACAAGAAACCTGTTTCAGTATTTCAGTTAGAATGTGACTTTAGGCTGAACTACAAATACATTGCTTTTTTTTATCATAACTGGACTATGTATCTTGTCAAAACTTGCCTTTCGACTTGTTTAAAAAAAATAATGCCTGTCAGTGTCTTAAAAATGAATTTATTTTGGCATTTAGTTGCTGACAAGGCTGCCTACCTCATGGGTCTGAATTCAGCTGATCTGCTCAAGGCTCTGTGCTATCCCCGTGTCAAGGTTGGGAATGAATTTGTGACCAAAGGTCAAACCGTGCAGCAGGTAAGAATGAACATCTGACAACCTATGCCTTCAGCTAAGTCACCTGGACTTGCTTTTTTTTCTTTTTTCTGAATGGTAACTGCAAGCTTTTTGTCCTTCATTTAGGTATACAATTCAGTAGGTGCCCTGGCCAAGGCTGTCTTTGAGAAGATGTTCTTGTGGATGGTTGTTCGCATCAACCAGCAGCTGGACACCAAACAGCCCAGACAGTACTTCATTGGTGTGCTGGACATTGCTGGTTTTGAGATCTTTGATGTAAGAGCAAWGTTTTATTAATACAATTTTACAAGTAATGTAATGGTGAAAGTTTAAGACTTAATGAYACCTTTTGGGCAGAAGTGAATTTAGTCCTTTCAGCATTAAAGCTTGAAGCATCTCAGTCTTTTCACTGAGAACAGATTTGTTTTGCACATATGTTAATGGAAATGCTGATATCCACAGTCACAGTTCTCACTTAGAAGCCTTTGGACTTCAAGTTCTATGGCTCAAAAAGATGCTGATTTGGAAACACATTTACCTTGCCAGTAGACATGAGCCGATAGAAATTCTAAACTCTTGGATGAACAGAAGACTCACAGATACTCCTACAGTTTGCTAGACCAAAAAGAGAAAAGAAAGATTGTTCTTTATCCATAATTTTCTAATATCAATCTCTATTTGTAATTTTGTAATTTTACAGTTCAACAGCCTGGAGCAGCTCTGCATCAACTTCACCAATGAGAAACTGCAACAGTTCTTCAACCACCACATGTTTGTGCTGGAGCAAGAGGAGTACAAGAAGGAAGGCATTGAATGGGAGTTCATTGACTTTGGGATGGACCTGGCTGCCTGCATTGAGCTCATTGAGAAGGTATGACTCTAATTCAAAACATCTATTATTTTCAAAAATTCATTACTTTTCTCCATGTATAAAATAAGTCAAAAGTACATATAGGATATTATTGAAATATTGTTTTAGAGTCTTTTATAATTAGTTTTGGTGATCATTGTACTTTTAGAAGAATCTAGTTTTGAAAGACTTAGAACTTTCCTATTGTCCCACTAAGAAATCTATTCTTTATTTGTGATTCTGTCTATCTTTTCACATCTCCCTCATTCTTTCTTCTTCTCTTCTATATGCTGCTATTTCTTCCAGCCCATGGGCATCTTCTCCATCCTGGAAGAGGAGTGCATGTTCCCCAAGGCAACTGACACCTCTTTCAAGAACAAACTCTATGACCAGCACCTGGGCAAGTCCAACAACTTCCAGAAGCCCAAGCCTGCCAAAGGCAAGGCTGAGGCCCACTTCTCCCTGGTGCACTACGCTGGCACAGTGGACTACAACATCTCTGGCTGGCTTGACAAGAACAAGGACCCCCTGAATGAAACTGTTGTGGGGCTCTACCAGAAATCATCTCTGAAGACATTGGCTTTACTCTTTGCCTCTGCCGGAGGAGAGGCAGGTCAGTTCTCTAAAATTCTTATTTCCTTTTTTTTTTTTTAAGATTCTTCAGGGCCATGAATATCAAGTAGAGTAGGTTTCTCAACATGTTCTTAAGAATCTGCATACTGTGAAGCCTCTCAAACAGTTTAAATTTATGTAAAAAAGAAAAGATGAAATGTATCTCAGACTTCCAGTGAGTTATGACAACCCCTAGGGCTCAATTCAGTGCATACCTTTGGACCTGTTTGCAGAAAAACTTGTTGTTTTTCTCTTCCTTTAGAATGAATGTTGACTTTGTATCCCACTGCATTCTAGGTTCTTTGCTTTGCACGAATAAAATATATGCTTTCTTACAGTCTCACAGAGAAAAAGTTTGCAACTCAAAGTTGTAATACTATCTGTTTTTGGTATTCTTCAGAGAGTGGTGGTGGCAAGAAGGGGGGCAAGAAGAAGGGTTCTTCCTTCCAAACGGTCTCAGCTCTTTTCAGGGTAAGTTCGTTATCCCTCTGTATTCTGTATCAGATATGTACTTTCAATTATTATTTAAAGGAATAATTCCAAGTCAGCTGAAGCCAATGAGAAGATAGCTGGTGACTTAATCTTTCTTCGAATGTAGAAAAAAGCACTTGAGCCAAACTCTAGTTTCATTCACTCACAAGGACAATTGGAGAATTAAGCTCTTCTGCAATTTGCCTCTCCCATAGTCCAGGGAATAGCTAGTCCGGATCTGCATAAAATTTTGATTTGGAAGGGCAAGTTGATATGGAAAATCCAAGGCCAATTACCTTCCCACTAACTGACAGGGCTTAAGGCAAATGGAGAGACATCTGTTTGCGTCCCTGTAATGTCTAGCTGCTATCTGGCATTCCAGATTTTTAAACTGCATAAAAGGGATACCTGTTTAAGCAGCTTTACTACTGCTCCAAATCAGGGCAAAACTGAGAATGGTACTACTCAATCTTTGTCATATATATCTTCATAAGTTGCACCTAATTCTGTTAAATTCCTCTCTGCCTTCCCTATAAACATGATCCTCACCCTCCCATCTTTTGTCCTGCCTATGGTTTTGTTTGCATTCCCAACAAAATTAAGCTTCTTACGCAGTGTGAGAGTCTGGTGAATGCAGAGAAACATCTTCCACTGAGAATTCTGTTTTCTGGTACCTCAACTCTCCGGTGACCATTTTCCATGAGTGTCATCTGAGTGGATGGGTTCCTCTGTCTCATGAGAACGTATTGTCCAGTTTTATAACTTTCATTCATGCTCATCTGGTAATGTAACCACAGAGGCAATATTTGATAAGAAAAACCTTTGCCTGTGATCCCACAGGAGAACCTAAACAAGCTGATGACCAATCTACGGAGCACTCATCCTCATTTTGTGCGCTGCATCATTCCCAATGAAACCAAAACACCTGGTAAGAAGTAGGAAATACAGGAAAATCCTATTGTGATGCAGTCATTATTCTTTGTATTTTATAATAAAATATCAAATAATTGTCACATTCTTTTAGGTGCCATGGAGCATGAACTGGTGCTTCACCAGCTACGCTGTAACGGTGTGCTGGAAGGGATCAGAATCTGCAGGAAGGGATTCCCCAGCAGAATCCTCTATGCAGACTTTAAACAGAGGTCAGATGCGTTTTTGCTATCCATTCTGTTAAAATCTTGTCTATTTTAATATGTGTGGTTATTTTATAYGAAAAATATAATAATTAATTCTGTAATATTGTAATTAACACTAAATGAAGGCCCAAATTGCTCAAATGCCTAAAAAAAGACAGCATCTCTGGCTGAAAAAGGAAAAATAGTTGAAWAATGTACAGTTAAGTAGTGCCTGAGACATAACCATAAAAATTCTCGTAAACCAAGGCACTCAGCTAGAATGTGCTCTTTCTGATGCTAGAGTGGAAGATCATTTCTTGCTACACATATAGTGCCAATGTTCCGGCACAGCTATTCTSTGTTCGAGAATGAAAGCACATGTAAAGACAAACAGACATCAAAATGAAAAGCATGGATATCAGCATCATCTTTTCATTTATGTTTTTTCAGCTAACTACAGTGAAAAAAATCCTTGATTTTGTCATTAGAATGCATTTCCCTAGGAATGTCATCTCTGAGCAGGGGATAGAAGTCCAAGTTCCCCATCTTCATTACACTGCACAGCATGCTGTTCATTTCACTAGCTAGTATAACTTCTGACTTTAGACTTAGTCAGTCTGTGTTAATTCATACTTCCTCTCTTTGCACAGGTACAAGGTGCTTAATGCAAGTGCCATCCCCGAGGGACAGTTCATTGACAGCAAGAAGGCTTCTGAGAAGCTCCTTGGCTCCATTGATGTGGACCACACCCAGTACAAATTTGGTCACACCAAGGTACAAACACTCCTTGACCCACGGACCGTGTGGCTGTGCTTGGTGCCACCTGACAGTGACGTGCTGCAATATTCCCCTTCTCCAGGTGTTCTTCAAAGCTGGGCTGCTGGGGCTCCTGGAGGAGATGAGAGATGAGAAGCTRGCACAGCTCATCACTCGCACACAGGCCAGATGCAGGGGCTTYCTCATGAGAGTGGAGTACCAGAGAATGGTGGAGAGGAGGTAGACATTTCTCAAATGCAAATAATCATTGAGCTTTGGAGAAAGTGTCTACACCATTCACATCCAAATYAYTMAATGTACWTTTWAACTATGCTTCAGGGAGTCCATCTTCTGCATTCAGTACAATGTCCGGTCCTTCATGAATGTCAAGCACTGGGCCTGGATGAAGCTTTTCTTCAAGATCAAGCCYTTGCTGAAGAGCGCAGAATCAGAGAAGGAGATGGCCAATATGAAGGAAGAGTTTGAGAAAACCAAGGAAGAGCTTGCAAAGTCTGAGGCAAAGAGGAAGGAGCTGGAGGAGAAAATGGTGGCTTTGATGCAGGAGAAAAATGACCTGCAGCTCCAAGTGCAGGCTGTGAGTATCTTTAGTATATTTTTTCCAGGTGAAACTAAGCAAGATCTAACTCCTCTTTCTTACAGCATAACTCTACAACTGTACCTTAAATTTCCTTACAAAATTTCTAAATTGAATCTTATGTTCTAAAAGTAAAATTGTGCCCATCTGTTTTGAGCACTCAGTATCACTTTTGCAAAGTAGTCACTCTTCAGCTTGAGAATGACTTTAAGTACTAAAGTACTTAAAAGTACTTTATATACATGTCTTTATGTAAGCTTATGGTATAAGGTCACATTATAGCCACCGGACATTTAGTATACATGCARTCCTGTGCCACATGCTCTAGGTGACCCTGCATGTGCAGAGGGGTTGGACTAGATGACCTCTAAAGGTCCCTTCCAACCTTAAGGATTCCGTGATGCTATGATTTGTGATAATGTTTATAGCGTTTTATTTATTGGACTGCGCACACTCTGTTCATGTGCCTAACTAAAGGTTACTAGATCCATTTCTTAAGATATCCAGTATCTTACCTGTTCTCCTGCAGCCTCTATTCCAGGAAGACACAGACACCCCACACGCCCTGAGACAAAAGTGCCGGCCCTCCGTGTCTGTATCTAATGCACTTTGGTATCTCAAAAGTTTATGCAATATTCAGGCAAGACCCTCAGACTTCTAGGTGCAAACTTTAAATACACTCAGATAATGTAATCATACCTGGAATAAAATAAAAAAAAAATTAATTCTCATTTGGCATTAGCAAGATATATAGGAATATACATATTTCTATGTGTGTGTATATATATATCCCCTTTATATTCATTTAGTCTCTTTCAGGGAAATGGAAAAATAACTTAATAAAATAATTATTTATTTCTAGATATATGACGTATATGGAGCTAGGCACTATATATATATATATATTTATGTATTTCCAATACTAACTTTCCCCAAAATAATTAAAAGATATTTTTTTCAGCATTACATGCTCTATTATATAATATGACTGCCAAAGTGAGATGTTATGAAACAAAACTGTTTTTACAAAACAGGAAGCAGATGCTTTAGCTGATGCTGAGGAAAGATGTGACCAGCTGATCAAAACCAAAATCCAGCTGGAAGCCAAAATCAAGGAAGTGACAGAAAGGGCCGAGGATGAAGAGGAAATCAATGCTGAGCTGACAGCCAAGAAGAGGAAACTGGAGGATGAATGCTCAGAGCTGAAGAAAGATATTGATGACCTGGAGTTAACGTTGGCCAAAGTTGAGAAGGAAAAGCATGCCACTGAAAACAAGGTACAACACAGAATTTCTCACTCGTATTCCAGAAATCAATGCTCTGCTGCTACAGCACATTTGTAGTTCCTTTAATTACCACCTGCTCTTATCTTCTCACAGGTCAAAAACCTCACTGAGGAGATGGCAGCTCTGGATGAGAGCATTGCCAAGCTGACAAAAGAGAAAAAGGCCCTCCAAGAGGCCCACCAGCAGACACTGGATGACCTGCAGGCGGAAGAGGACAAAGTCAATACGCTGACAAAAGCTAAAACCAAGCTGGAACAGCAAGTGGATGATGTAAGTATACATTCGGAATGAACAGGACAGGGATCTAAGTAGGCTTTGCTAGCAGAGTACTCATGATTGTCTTCTGTTTAGCTTGAAGGGTCCCTGGAGCAGGAGAAGAAACTGCGCATGGACCTTGAGAGAGCCAAGAGGAAACTGGAGGGGGACCTGAAGTTGTCCCATGACAGCATAATGGACTTGGAAAATGATAAGCAGCAGTTGGATGAGAAACTCAAGAAGTAAGCATGCCTGAAGGACAATTCTGTGCTGATGCACATGTGTTTTTCATCAGGTTCTAACAGAATTTTCTTTGYGCACAGGAAAGACTTTGAAATCAGCCAGATCCAGAGCAAGATCGAGGATGAACAAGCCCTGGGCATGCAATTGCAGAAGAAGATCAAGGAGTTGCAGGCAAGTCTCTGTTCCCTCCCTTCTCTCATGCCGACAGAGGTTCAGCTGGAGCAGGGCATGAGTGTGAACAGTGCCTACTGTTCCACAGGCGCGAATTGAGGAACTGGAGGAGGAAATTGAGGCCGAGCGGACCTCTCGCGCCAAAGCAGAGAAGCATCGGGCTGACCTCTCCAG